ATTGTTAAGTCCCTACAAGTGTCCATTTCTTCTCACGGCTCTGGAGTGGAAGCACAACGAAGAGCTCCAGCCCCAATCTCCCACGACCCTGGTGTGCCTGTCGCCCCCCAGCCCTTCCCACCCAGCCTCCTCAGGCAGGCAGGGGTCAGGGAAAGGTCACGGTGTTCTCACACCTTCACAAGCAGCACAAAAGCCGAGAAGTTCAAGAGCAAAACCACGCTCCTTGACACTGAGGGGACACACATCCTGTGTCCCCACAGAGGGCGCAGTGCAGGGGGCAGGGACGTGAGGACCACAACCCCTTCTGTGGTCCACACTCAGGGTACTGGGACTCCCTCGACCAGGGTGGCGGCAGCCCGTGCCCTGTCCCCTGCCCCCAGGACGCCCACCCTCCCCACGGTCTCCCTCCTCGACCAGGCTTCACACCCAGAACCCTTCGCCCAGCCCCGCCCACCCAGGCAGGTGACCTCCAGCTCTGCTTTCCAGACTCAGCTCCCATGTCCCCTTGCCTGTCCCCTGTCACCACATGAACCAGGCTGTACCAAGGGCCATGGTGCCCCTGCCTGGCCTCGGAACTCTGTGCACATGAGAGCAGCTCCCAAGGGGCCCAGTGCACCCTGCATCTGCCAGCAGAGGGGCTTGGGAGCCTCGGGACGGTGACCGATTCTGTTCGGGGTTGGCTCCTGATTGGGACAGCCACGAAGACTGACTTATTTAGCTATAAAGCAGGGAAAATGGCACTGGAGCTCCCTACGCAGGGTATCATGCGAAACAAACGAAATAGCTGCAGAGCACAGCTCAGAACAAAGTCACTCGCCAAGCCGGCTGAAAAGCGCAGCAGGCTCTGATGGGCGAGAGCAAGGCCCCACCGCCGCTGGGCCACCGCAAGCCTGAGCCGGCTGGGCCACACAGCCGCGGCGGCCTCGTGGCCCCTCCTCGGCCCGGCCCTGCAGCCCAGCCCCTGGACCGCATCTGCGCACCTGCGCTCCGTGGCCTGCCCCCACCGCCGCGGCCCCAGCCCTGGCTTCTGGCTCCCAGCGCCACGCTGCCACGCTGCGCTCAATGGTCCCTGATGCCTGGTTTGGACGTCAGATCCCTGCCGGGAACCCATTCTTAAATTTCAATGCCATTAATCACCCAACATTCAGCCTCTCAGAACTCAGAAATTTGCATTTCTACAATGGTGGCTTTGAAAAAAGGCCATACATGCAAATGTCCCACAAACTGTACAAGAATTTTCAGAGAATTGCCAAAACAAACCATCAATGCTCCATTGACAGTGAATTTTCTGAGCTCTTCAGAACGACTGAGTATTCGTGATTTTTAAAGACAAAACACAATTTGAGGATTAAAAAAAGAAGTAGGTTGAAAAAGAAGTCGTTATGTCTCCTGATTTGCAGAACAAACCTTGACTGATTAAGCTCCCAGATAAGGACGCGCAGAGGGTGTGGGGGAGGGGCGCTGGGCTGCCAGCCCGCCCACCTTCCCAGTCACCCAGGCTCCCCCCACACCTGCCTGTGCCTGGGTCGCCGCTGGTCTCCCCACCCCCGCCCTCAGGGCTCGGCTCAGCCAGCCAGCCGCTGGGGGCTCTCACGCCTCCCCACAGGGGTCTGGAAGCTCTTCTCCAGCCGGCACAGCTGCTGCTGCTCCTGCGGGGCGGGAACCAGGCCCACCCCCGGGCCTGAGCCCCTGCTTCTGCCGCACGCCACCTCCTGCTCAGAGGCAAGGCCACGCAGGGCCTCACTCAGGGCCCAGGGCCCACCTATCACCAGCAGCTCGGGATCGGTGTCTTCTCTGTGTCAACTGCGTGTCTCCAAAGTCCACTTTCTCTCTTCAGAGTCCCTAAAACTTCGCAGTATCCCCCAAGCATTCCATCATTGCAAAGCACAATTAAATGACATAAAAATGTTTCTTGCTGAGATAACTTCTATCTTAAAACGTAATAGCCTTGGCAGCTAAACTGGTTGCAATAAACAGACCGGAGACCAAGCGCAGGAAGCCAGGGCATGAGGTCGGAGGGAGCCGGCCCACTGACCGGAGGAGGGCACGCAGCCACTCCCTGCAGGCCTCCAGGACAGCGCCCGACCGAGGCCCGCAGAACCCAAACTCGGGGACACTCGACTCAGCCCCGTGGGCGCAGCAGGCTTTGCAGCTGCTCTGTGCAGACAGGGTGTCTCAGACTCCACGGAGTACCGAGGAATCAGAATGGTCCGAGTTAAATCGCTGATCTTAAACACGCAAGTTTCCCTCAAGGCAGCTGGTCTGCTTTGAACAAGACACTGTCTGCACCACCTTCCAAGATGCAGAGGCAGAGAGGACACTTGAGCCGCCATCCTGCCCAGCCAGTTTCCTACTGAGACTCAGGTGTGCATGACCACACGCAGGTCCCCGCGCGCCGGCCGGTGGGCCTGAGGCCGGCCAGGTTTCTCTAGGCACCAAGGGTGCCAAGAAGGCTCCCTGCGGGGCGGGGCGGGGCGGGGCAGGAAGGGCGGCGGTGACAGTGCCGGGCTGCCCACGAGCCAGCCCGCTGCCCGCTCCGAAGCACACAGCCCGGAGGCCAGGCGCAGTCTGCTCTGGGCGGGGACACAGGCCCGGAGGGAAGCAACCTCCGCTTGCCCCACTCAGGGACGCCCCGCCAGGCAGGGCCCTGTGTCCTCTGCTCCCTTCCTGACCCACGTCAGCACATCGCACAGGGGAGTTCTGGAGTATGGAACTGGGCAGAAAGTACAGTATTTCGGAACCTCTTCCCATTCTTCTTACCGTCAAAGAAGAGTTCTTTGAGGCCAAATCCACCCAGGCCCTTTCCGCAGGCTGCTCACATCAGTACAAACCGTGATTCAGAGCAATAAAGCCCGGCAGCGAGCGGCTTGCGTCAGAGAACCAGGCCGAGCCCTGGCGCTCGTAAAGAACGGCCATAAACCCGGTGAGCGCCGCCCCCCGGAGGAGGCGTGAAAGGAAAGCAGGGGAGGGAAATCAGACACACCAAGGAAAAAGGTCACTTTGTCATCAGGGCAGAGGCAAGCGGTGCTGCGTGAGGAAGGGCAGGGGGCAGCATGAGGGCCCCAGGGAGCACGGGGGGGGGGGCTGGGGGGCGAGCACGGCCAGGCCGAAGGCACTCAAGTGGGCGGGCTCCCCGCAGCCCCCCAGCACTGGGAGGCCGGAGGCTGTGGGTCCAGCAAGGCAGAGACAGGGACGGGGCCTCCTCAGGCTGAAGAAGAGGCATCAGAAACTTCATGTTCAAGAAGCCAACTGCACAAGTGAGTATCAAATATTTCTCCTCTCTCCAAATCCACTGACACTGCTAAACATAAATACAAATATAAAAGCAATGCTAGACAGTGGGCAGTGGCATCAACTGACCAAAAAGCTGGAGGAATTTCCTCAAAAACATACACCCAATGGGATCAAAGTGACAAGAGCGCAATCGCTAGAGACGGGCCATCGCCAGGCCCAACAGACGGCAGCCCCGCGCGGGGCCGGGGCGGGGCAGGCCCCGCGGCAGGGCCAACCCGGTGAGGGAAGCCCCGTGGCAGCTCCAGAGGCTGCTCTGGGAGGAGAGGCCCGCCCACGAGGACGCCTGAGCACCCGAGGGGCAGGAGCGCCCGGCGCGCCACCACCACGGCCTGAGAGGCGGTGGCGCAGGCCACGGAGAGGGGAGCGGGCCGTTCCCCACGCGCTTTAAGAGCAAACCTGCAGTTCTAAATGCACACGCCCACCGTGCCCACGGAGCGAGCAGCTCTGTTCTTGGAACGGATCCAATGCAGAGAGACGCTTACAGAAGCGCACGTACAAACTGTAGTGTCATAACTGTCTGATGCGGATTTGGGGCTGCTATAAATAGTGCTGCAACCACGTAAACATCCATCCACAAGCTACCAAAAATCAGACTTACACTGACAAAAGGTGCTCGTAATACATTAAAGTGGAAAAAAATAAATCAAGCCCACCCATGGGATGACTTCACCCCCATTTAAACACTGGCGCGCAGACCCCTGGGCTCCAGTGCAGGGATCAGGCCTGTCCCCCCACCCCCACCCCTGCAGTGGGAGGCCGAGCCGGGCACCTCCACGGTCTGCTTGACATGCCTGATCCAGGCACTTAATTCTGTCTTCCACGTGGTGTCGGTCCATAGTGAACAACTTACGTCAACAAGGCCTCCGTGCCTGACCACAACCGGTAACCCCGCCCTGTGCCCTGCTCCTGGAGCCCCAGGCCCCTCCATCAGGCCAAGGAAAGGCGTGTGGAGGCCCCAGGCAATCCCGAAGGAAAAGGCACACTCTGCTGCCACGCTGACTGGGGCGTGGGTGCCTGGAGGGGGCCCAGCTCTGCCCGGGTGTCCATGGCCACCCTCCCCGGGTGCATGACAGACCTGCTATGGAAGCGCCTATGCAGCTGGAGGTGGTAGCAGGTGGCAGCAGGCGACCGCACGGGGACTTCGCAAGGGGAGAAAGAGAAGGCCTAAAGGGGTGAGCCTGCAGCACACCTCTGAAGCGAAGGGCCACACGAACGCGGTTCCCGACCCCATTCAGCCATGGACTAGCTCCATGACCCCAGTTTCTTCCATCCAGACCTGAGATTTCCAGGGCGCTGTGATGACCGAGCCACGAGGCACACTGAGTGCAGGGCCTCCCGAAAGCACGCCAGGAGCGGGGAGCGGGGTGGGGTCGCCCAGGCCACACCCAGCCCAGGGCCCAGCCTCAGCACCACCCCCACGGCCCCCAGAAACAAAGAAACTGGATAAGAAATCAACTCCCCAAGTCACAACGTGACCTCTGAGCATCGCCTCCCGAAAGCTGCACACCTGCCTGCCGGCACTGGAGGCCCGCAGCCGGGGCCTGGGCCTCCAGAGAGCTTGCTCCGGGCCCGTCCTGAGATGGCGCATAGGCAGCCTGCTCTGCACCGAGCGCTGCCACGGACCAGCAAGGGCCACTGGCAAGAAACCCAGCGACAAGCTGCAGCCACCAGTCCTTTGTGCCCAGGACAGCCCCGCCGTCCCTTACCTGGGTGGCTTTGGGAGCTCATCGCTAGCAGCGTCTGCTCCTCGCCGTGACTCAGTGGCTCGAAACTTCCACGGGGACAATGCTGCACGGAGCGCCGGAGGCCCGCGGACACATCCAAGTCCAGCAGCGGGCGGGGTAGGGCGGGGCGTCCACCGGCTCAGGGAAGGGCCTGCACGGGGAGAGAGAGGACAGTGCACTCAGGAGGTGCCCCAAGGACCCCCGGATTCGGTTCTCACCCACTTCACCACCGACTGGTAAAACGGCCCATCCAGGCAGCTCTGCTAACAGGAAGCACTTGGCCGGGGAGGGCGGTTGTTCATAAACAAGTACAAACACGGTAAAAAGGTAAGAATGACCTGCCAGCGGCACTTCTCCACCTCAGCCCTGGGGATGGAGAAGGTGGAGCAGGGACACCCCCTGGCCCGCGGCCACCACATGCTCTCCCCCGCGGGCGGCGCTGCAGGCCTGGCTCTGGCCTGTCCCTGCTCGCACTCCAGAGTCACCAGCCCCTCTGCCGGTCCCCAGGCCTCATTGTGGAGCAGCGTGTCACAGGAGAGCATGTAAAACTCGCCCATGACGCCGTCCCGAAGAAGCGGACGCTCGGCAACATCCTGACACGTTTTCCTTTGCCTTTTGCCCAGGCTGCCCGATCGCAGCCATGTCTCCCACCCTGCCCTGCCCTGCCCTGCCGCCAGCCCTCCAGGGCGCTCAGCTCTCCTGGCAACACCGGCAGGAAGGCCTGGAGATGAAGCAGCTCCTCCCCCACTTCAGGTGCATCGAGTCCTCTCCCCAAGATCATCTACAGACCAGCCACTGCACGTAAGAGCCCAGGGACGAGTCCAAGAACTCCCACCGCCGAGCATCTGCTCTGAGTGGCGGCATCACGAGGGACATTTTAGACTGTGTAATGAGCACGTTATCACTTTATAACCAGAACATAAAAATACACTGAAAAAACGGTACTTAAGAAAACGCTCCTACTGACCCCGGCTTGAGGCCCTTCTGAGGCCTGTCATCTCTTCCTTTGCCCGTGTGATAAATTCCTGCTCCTGATGAAATCACTCAAGGATATTTTTTCCCAATTCCTCATAATCAAAGAACCCTAGCCAAGACACCCTGTAAGGAATCACTCCCCAAGGTTGGCTATTTAGGTGGTTTCCAAGTTCAAATTCTCTGTAACTCTGTGGTTAATATCTTAATGATTATGGTTCTGTAGCTGGTTACTTCCCCATGAAACACAGTGACACAGTTTTCTCAGGTTCAGAACTTTTATTCATCTCTTGATCAGAAGGAACTTTTGTTCAAGGCAGTGTATCGGGTAACCAAAAAGTCCAGTAGTTTTTCTGTAATATAAAATATGCATTTTTCATATTCACCAATAATTTTATTGATTTCGATATTTTGAGTAGGGGGAAGGCTACTCCCCACATGGTAGAATGTTGATTGTTTTTGATTTATGTCTCGATTGGATCGCTATCAACTTCAACGGGCTCACCCCACCGTGGAGCATGGTGCAGCGAGGAATCTGCAGCACAGAACTTCACAAACCACTTTGACACGTTCAGGGAGTCACAGCACCTTCTCCCCTCTCCATAAGCTGCACAAATCTTTTTCCACATTTCAGTTGTGTTTGTACCTTTCTTGAAATAATGAAGCAAATAACATCGACAATGTTGCGTATTTTCTTCCACCTTCAATATTAAAAGAGCTACACAAAAATTCACCAATTTTGGAGTTCTCTTTTAAATGCATGCCATACGGCGCTGTCACAATTCAATCTAACAAAATTGTTTCAAATGAAGTTAAAGACTCTACTAGAGCCATCTTACTGGGGAAAAAACCCAAACAAACCGCAAACGAACATTTTGGCCAACGCAAAAGATGGCATGTTTTGCAAAGCCTTGCAAATCTCAGACGGCTCTTCACGTATGTCGCCCTCGGCTGGGTGTAAAGTCGCAGGTCGCAGCTGTTCCCCCTCCAGCGCACAGACCCTGCTCCGCCCTCCACACGGCAGCACGCAGGACAGGGTTTTCTTCCCAGGGAGTCCTAGGGCTGACGGTGCCGTTGTTGTTACTGTTACTTGATTCTGTCTGGGTCTGGCTAGAATTTTTTTAATTTTGAAATTCAGAAAGTTTTCAGAAAATGTACAGTAAGAGCCTTTCACTTACACTGCTCCCAACACGAACCTCCCGGCACACAGCCCTCTCTGCTCAGGAAATGCCCTTCCGCTCTGGGCTGACCGCTGCTTTGTTAGCGGGCTCTGGCTTCTTCAGGGGTTCCCAGACGTCCGGCTGAGCTCTCTCAGTCACCAAGGCACGCCTGCTGGGCATTCCCACCCCCAGGCACCTTCTCAGGAGTGCGCTCCACGCGGCCACAGTGCTCCCTACGGCTTCCGCCGCAGGCTGGGACTCAGCCGCCCGGTCCCGGCCACGTCCCACTGCAGCGCATCCGATGCCTCGCCCTCTCCCCCGACTCACCCCTCATGCCCTTCTCCCCCATGTGTGGAGTCGTGTCTTCTCCCGGTCGGGCTTTTGAAACCTGTTCTCTGAGTTCGGCAGTAAGTCATTTTCAGAGCCAAGTTCTCCCGCAATTCAGAACAGCTCGGGCCCAGACCGGGTTTGCCCGAGCACCGAGTGCACCTGCCTCTGCCCCACGCGTCCACCACAGTGCTGGCTAGAGCCTTCTCTGGGCTCTGCTCTGGCAGCTGACACACGGTCAGTTTTCAACCCAGTGAGACAGGAACAGAGTTGTTTTCAGACATGCAAAGACAGAAACCACCCATCCCCAGCAGATCTGCCCGGAGCCAGCCCTTCAGGTGGAGGGAAGGTCGCGCCAGCAGGGTGCGCGGCTCCGCGGAGAAGAGTGAAGGGCCTCGCAAATGGGAACCACAGAGGTGAACGTGGAAGTCTTCTCTTAGGTTGACTTTCCCTAAGAGAAAACTGTTTAAAGCAAAAAAAATAATGTATCGAGAAGCTTACATCATAGGGACTAAGAAAACTCGTCAAAAATAACCCAGACTAGGACTGCTACAAGTGTGCTGCCCTGTCCCCACGCTGGACACGGGGCGGGGCGTAACGCCCCCCACGGCAGACTGTCTGCCACAAATCCTAGAGCAGCCACTGAAGTTCCAGTTAACATATCAATAAAAAACGTAACACAATCATGAAAATAACCCAAATGAAGACAGGAAACAGAAAACACGCACAAAAAAGTGGCAAACAGAAAACAGAGAGGGGAGCTTTAAACCCAACTCGAATGGTCCGCCCCCTGCCCCAGTGAGACTGGGAGAAAAAGCCAAACCCCACTTTACCCGAGTTCACAGAGGAATCATGGGAGGTGGAATGAAAAAGATTCAGAGAAGAGGTAAAGCGCTTGATACTGTGAAATAAATCTTCCCCAAGTTTATACCCCCAGTTAAAATGGTGCCTACACGAATCCATCCATTTTAAGTGTAAACACATAAGCAGATGAAAAGGAAAAGATAGAAAAGATAAATCATGCAAATACCAATGAGAAGAAAGCTGTAACCGTTACATTAATGTCAGACAAGGAGCATGAAAGCAAGGCCCTGGCCAGGGGTCCCGAAGCCCCGGCTCGGGGATAAGGTGTCAAGCACTGAGAGGACGCAGCAACAACACACGTCCGAGAACCTGAGAACAGCACCTCCTGCAGGGGAAAACTTAACGGGTCTGTGGGGACAGAGGGGCAGACCTGCCGGGACGCCCGGACACCGCAGCACCCTGCTCTTGTCATGGTCGGACCAAGCAGACAGGAAATTAGTAAAAACAGAAACCACACGACAGCACCAAAAAGACACTCACGGGCGCTCTGCGAACATCGGCGCACGTTCTCCACATTCTTAAAAGCACATAGAACACTTACCAAGCAGACATCCTCGGGGCCATAAAAAGTCTCAATAAACTTTAAAGGACTCAAGTCAAGCCATACAAATATGTTCTCTGACTAAACTGCAATTAAGCTAGAAATCAAGCACAGAAGGATATCTGGAAAACTCCAAATATTTGGAAACTAATATACTTCCTGGGGCAAAGGAGAAATTAAAACAGATTAGAGTCTCCGAAATGAGGCAATGAATGAAATGAAAACACAACACGTCACAATGTGTGCGGAGCGCAGAGGGAAATTCAGGGAGACCGAGAGCCTGCACTGGAAACAGGGGTCTCCACCAATGCCTCCAGGTGCCGCCTGGAGAAACTAACAAAAGAGTAAATTAAATCCAAAACAAGCAGAAAGAGACCATAACAAAGAGCAGATATCAATGAAATAAAAGAGAAAAAAGTCAATGAAACTAACAGATTCTTTGAAACAATAAAAACTGATAAACCTCTAGCTAAACTCAGAAAAAAAAGAAAGACGACAGATTACTACCCAGAATGAGAGATTAACGTTGACAATATGGATATTTGATGCACAAGCACGGAGTATTAGGAACAATTTTGTAATTTTGTGCTCGTAGCTTTGATACTTGAGATGCAATCAACAAATGCCTTACAGACCAACAGGACTGAGCTCTGGGAAGGACAGCCCCGCCCAGCCAGTGCCGGGGCAGCTGCAGGGCCCCGCCCAGCCGTGCTGCGTGCGGGGTCGCGCCAGGCGCCCTGTTCCCCTCGGTGCGTTCCCCAGGGCTGCGCCGCTCAGGCCAGCGGCGGTCCCCGCCACACTGTGCCATCAGTCCCGCGCTCCCATGAGTACGGGCTCCTGGGCCTGGATTTGGGTGCGTGTGTTAAGGCCCACCTCCACCGCCATTTATTTTGTTGGCCACAGGAGCTCCTTCAGGTCTGCTGCCTTATGTTCCTTTCTTTTTTTAAAGCATTCTTTCCGGCTCCACAAGATGTCCCCGCCGCAGCCCGGGAGTCCACCGCTTCTCTAAGCAGCCCGGCTCCTTCCCTGGGAGAACTGTGTGTTCAGGCAGCAAGGCCTGAAGCCGATGCAGCGCCTGTCCCCTCCCCCCCCCTCCCCATCCCCTGCATCGCTGTGGCGGGCCCTCTGGCAGGTGGTGTAGACACCTAACTCGCCTGCCTCTACATCTGTGTCCGGCTGCCGTGTTTTTAAAATCATGAGAGCAGACGGATACCTCCAGCTCCAACCCCACATCACAGGGTGAC